TTTTATTGTCACGAACCTCAAGCTCGTAACAATATTAAAAATAATTGAGTCTTTTAAAATTTTACTTTAATATTTAACAAAAGTTTAAAAAAATTCTTACGTCTTATCGTTTTGGAGAAGGGAAGTTCACATTTTTCGTATTTTTGTTTATATGAGGGGTAGAGGTCTAAAGTTATAAATAGTTTGCTAACGTAATACTAACGTAATACTTGTACGCCCCGTTACGAAACCTACGGGATGAAATCAGGGGCGTCACCTCAGGGCGTATTCATTATGTTGCTTGCTTTTTAATCTTGCCCGCAAAAACAAATGAAGAAACTGCGCAAAAAAGTTTTGTATTACTGAGAGAAACTTACGTTGTCTTACTCCGTAATATAAAGATGCGGAAGTTTCAAGATTGGAAATTCAAAAGCAAAATTTTCGACGGAAAGAAAAGTTTTCTTTGAGATTTAATGCGATTTACTTTCAATAAATTTTTCATTGTTGATTTGTTTTGTTGTAAATAAAAAGAAACTTGCTTCAGATTGTTTGAATAATGATCTGGGTAAAAATTTAAATTCTGTAAAATTTGTTGCTTCTCATTACAAAGCCGGTAAAGAAAAGTGGAAGTTACATTATTTTGTTGTAATTTCATTTTTATTGCATTATATTAAAAAAGAATATCATCCCGTGGGTGTCGTAAAATACGACAGAGGGAAACAAATCAGGAGATAGGCAGCAGCGTCTTCTTGGTAACGGCTAAAAATAGTGAACTGTGGTTGCCATCCTGCTTGGTAATCATAGCAACTATGGCAAATATCAGTCAATCTATGGGGGAGGCCCACGCTCAGCAGTGGACTCTAATAGGCTGTAACGGTATCAAAAAGAGCTATGTACAAAGGTTGAGTACCTGAGTATGCCAAAGGTATACATGAGGACAGGCATGACCCAGCCGTTATATGCGTGTGTCTTATTCACATCGGACAAAAGGCTGTTAAGCACTTTGGTCAAGCGTGCATAAAACACGTCGCAAACTGACTGTTTCATACCAGCCTCATCGATACCGATGTTCTGTGACATACCCAGGTATCGGTATGTTTCAGCCTCGGAAAGGGTCCTTAAGTTGACGGTCATAGATAAGTCTATGCCCTCAGATTTAGCAACCCTTCCTCTTTCAACATGGAGGACCGCACACTTATTCGTCCCCAGCTCCATTCTATTAGAATTGCTAAATTCACAAGTGATGTTTAGCAATTCCATAAGATGGGAGCGACTGGAAGCGAATAATTTGAGGTCATCTTTATAGAAAAATCTATTACATTTAAACATTGAAATGAAATCAAATGAATGATTTTATTCAACATAGATTATTATAAAATACTTATTGAAAGTCATTTTTTAATTTGCCACTGGTTCGCAAAAACACCTCTGTCCTGGGAAGAACCAGCAAGAAACCCAGCGGGAAATTTTTTTTAAACATATTTAAATTTACAATTAATTTATTTTGTTACAATTTTTGAATGATTTTTTATAGAACCAGCATGGTGGCGATCACCTCATTCCCAGGGCTTATTTTCATTTATATATGTATTCATTTATATTATAATAACCCTTTTTGTACAATTTTTCTTTAATAAAACCTTTAAACTTGTTTAATGACAAATTTTGTATATATTCTTGGATTTTGTTTTAAAAGCGTATACATTACCCCATAAATAAATTACTAATTCTGTGGAGTCTAGTAACTGGTATTACAAGCTTATGTTTGTTCGTAGTCTTTAAAGTATGACCATCTTTATTCTTATGAAAGTTATTTATGTTTTTATGTACATACATTACATTTTCATAAATATATTATATATTCTTTACCTTAGTCAACTCATGCGGCGAGGAAAGTTTGACGTAGGCGAAGCAGCGCTATATTATGTAGTAACAATTTATTAACCTATGTTTAACAGGACTGTAATACCTCAGGGGCTTGCGCTTACCGTTCGATCCCCGCCGCCTGAATTAGCATGAAAATTTAAATTCTTGTTTTTAATTGAAATATAAATTCTTGTTTAACACGGGCTCCAGGATGAGAATACATTGTGAGGAAACCTGTATATCTAAGGAATGAAGAAGTATTGCTAAGACATATGAAGTCCGTCAACACGCATTGGAGCAGTGCTGACTAACTGCTCCAGAATCCTCTCAAAAATTGGAGGAGAATTTTGCCCAGCAGTGATATAAGTATATATTAAGCTATTTTAATATATTTTTCTTATATATTATACGTAGCAGAGCCACCACGCTCTCATAGAATACGAGTTTGAAATAGTAGCTTGATGCTGCTGTGTTTCGTATGGTTAGTGTAGAGAATTGAAGATATTTTTTACTGGAATAGAGGCATTCCATCTTAGTCTTTAGGGGTAACAACAACTCTGCATTTCAATTGATAGCATTCGCTTACCACCAAGCGCATTGTGTGCTCGTTTGTCACCCTTATTCTATAAAAAAATACTTTAACAGCACGCAGATAATAATAATACCCGTCACAGCACACAACAGCAGTGTATACTCGTATGTCAATATATTATGTTATGTAAATGATAAGGGAGAAAAATATTTAAATGATAAAGAATTACCAAATTTTTATTTAAACAAAATTTTATTTATTTAAAGAAGTACACATAACATTACTTAAATTAAACATAACATAAATATTAATATTTAATAGAAGCAATTTAACGGCTCTTGTAAAACATTTAAAGTAAATAGTAAATAAAATAGTTTGGTTTACAATAATTGGCATTTTCAGTTTACATTTCTTTGAATTAATAATTCCTATTATAGTTTGAACTTTTAAAATATCCAAACATTCTCTTACTTTGTAATCTCTCTTTCAATACAGTTGGCGGAAGATTGCGAGGAAATGAAAGGTATTGAGAGGTTAATGCTCAAGAGGATTTCCGTTTGTAAATATTTCTTACAGAGTTTTATTTATAAGAAACAAAAACAACAATTTTTCTTATATTTTGGTGTAAAAGTTTTCTCTCAAAAATATTTATATTTATTACAGTCTCACCTACATTTAATAGTCCGACCAAGTGAAAAAAATATTACACTTAGCCACAAATTGAGATTTATAGGGTAAGTTTGGTATTTGAAAGTCCAAAATTAAAAATTACAACAGACCATAAAGTTCGATCTTACTGTCTGTACAAATTGTGCGTGTGTGCAAATATGTACTATCCTGCATTACTATCCAGATTTGGTGAAAACATTTGACAAAGCAAATAAAAGGAATTTTAACTCTGTACGCAGATGCAATAAATACTTATATTATATTTCATTCACTAATTTCAAATGTAGGATTCTGTGCAATTTCTGTGTTCTGTATTCAGACATCATGGAAGTTTAGAGAAAAAGAGTAATCGTACTACAGCCACATTCGAACTCGAAACATTTGCGAGACACAAATATTGGTTTCAAATGGAAGTTGAATTAATGAATCAACATCTTCGCAGATAATCTTTAGGTTTGTTACTGAGCTGCTGGATACTTCGTTCGTTTTTTTTATTCGGGTTATTATATTAACAATTACAAATGTCCAATTTGAAAATAAAGTTGCTACATTAATGAGCATAGTGCGATTCTTATTATACTCGTACAAGTAGCGGCACGTAAGTCTAGCGCTGAACGAAACGTGGGATACGCACGAATTGAATTGCACGAACGGAGAGCCAATCACCGCGTGCGAGCGATACGCACGAGCCAATCAACGTGACTTATGCGCAATAACGGTCAACGCTAGAATTTCATTCCACAAGCTATAGTTCTGGTTAAAAATGGTCGTTAAAAATGTACATTTAAATAGAACTAAAGTGTCTGTCTGTATCTTTACAGAAATAAATACCTTCCTGTCCGGGCCAATCTTCAAAATGGCTGAACCGACTGTAATAAAACTTTACAAACAGATAGAGAGCAATACCAAGAGCCTACAACAGGCTATATTTTATCCGAAAATCGTGGTTTTTTTAATATCGAAAAATTTATAAAATAAATGATCTTTGACCTAGAATTACCTTAAATCTTAATAACGCTACATTAATAGATCCCATCCGAACGAGTTGCTAGTTTTAAATGTTACATTACGTTTATTCACCACTTGTGCATTCTTATAATAGTAATCCATTATGTTATAATTGTATGTATGTTCGAGGATGTGAATAAATTGAAATAATAGGAGTAATAAATAGCTATTGTTAAATTCAATACATTCCAAGGTAAGCTATTGTAATATTTTCAAACCAACAACAAAGAGAAAAGGAAGAGGTTCTTAATTCGTTATTTTTATGTATATTCAGCGAATATTCTTTACCACGTTTCTATTAGAAAAGGGGTATTCCTCAGGGGTGATCCTATATAAACTTGGGATCTATAAGAAAATAATCAAACTCTTCAATTTGAAAAGGGCTAGGCACGACATATAGATTATATCTAATTGTTTTTAGTTCTTTGAAGTTGGTTTTTATTTTTTGTAAGTTTAATTATGACATAATTAAACTCACTTGCCACAAACAGTCTTATAGATGTTTCGCTTGTACTACGGTTATCGCCATTTTAATTACTTCATGCATATTACATTTTATTCTGTATGTATTTAGAAAAAAATACTTTTTTATAACCATCGCTAAAAATACTTTTTTACCATTCATATCGATTACTGGCCACAACTAAAAAATAAAAAAGCGACCCATAAAAATGACAATTTTATTTTCCAGAATTAAAAGAAGGAAAGTTAATTAAATAGGTACATCTAATTTTAAATAGCTTTTATATGCTGGAAATTATGAAATTTTAAATCAGTATTAGAATATTGGATTTAGTGCAGGTAGATAAATCTGATGATAATGCAGATATAATGTTGCAAGCTTGCATACGTTTATAACATTAAAAATATCAGACATATTTTTTCACAATTAAACAAAGAGTTTAGAAAATACTTTGGAAGACACTTTTGAAATTGAAAATCGACATCAAGTCTGACTCGTTCCGTTTTCTTTATCCTTCCCAGCCTCCTCGTAACCCTTTACTAGGTTCTCTAAGATGAATCTTATTGTGATTTTGTAAATGTTTTCTATGTTGGGTGTGTATCGATCGCCTAACGTTGTCTTAGCGGCTTCTAAGAATGGTTGCTCGATTTTCTGAAAATTGAAAAGAAAGGTAAATAATATTAGTTCTATTTTCGTGAGATCCTCAAATGAATTTTTTTAAATATGAATATGACAAACGCACTGTAGTTTCTCGTGATGGACACCTGCAACCAATTTTAGCTTTTTTTACATGGAGAAATGCCTACTAATATCTGCCTCGTGGGGGAGGGGGGGGGGGCAAGGACAGGTTATGTCGGACTCGCAACAACTAAAACCCCATGGTGTTCCATCTCCGCCGCATATTGGTAGGGCCATGGGAACGCTTTAGCATACATCCGCGGACCCACAAGCGCCGGCTGCCCCATGGCAGCCACTTCTCGGTAGAGAACTTCTGCCTTCCTTTTTCTTCTCTCCTCGACCCCTGTTCGTTCACTAGTCGGCTCGAACGGGGGTAGGACCATACTCTCACAGAATACTAGTGTAAAATAGTAGCTTAATACTGCTGTTTTGTATGGTGAGTGTACAGTAGCGGAGACCGTTTTTACTGAGAACGATGCATTCAATCTTAGTCCTCAGGTAACGAAGAAACTATTGTCTAATCTGAGCCTTAACGATGATAACGCATTTGCATTTTGTTTCTTAGTCGAGGTTAAATATAGATGTCTATGGGCCACAGCATCCAATTACTATCAGGTGGACTGTGCGCTCGTCTATCACCCTTATTCTATAAAAATAGATCTTACCATGAAGTTCTCAGCGACAAAGCCCGGCACTTGCCTGTGAGTCCCACCTACGTGTCTCACGTAAGCGAAGAAAGCATCCATATCGTTAAGACCTTTGATCCCCTCATCCAGGGTGTGCATGACCTTAGTCGCATGCTCAGCTAACTCAGCAGAACTAACTTGCGCTTCGATTGTGCGCAAATGGCGAAAGTCTTCAAAGAGGTGAAGAAGATCTTCATTTTCTTGAAACAATCTGGAAAGTTAAGAATAAATCATTAAATTATTAAAAGACAATTCAATAAATTAAAGTTTGTTTATGTTAATATATGTTTTGGAGGTAAAGTCACCCTGCAGGTCGGGGTAGGATTGACATAAAATAGCAGTCTAATGATATTCATATGGTGAAACACAAACATAAACAGATACTTTTTTATACAATAGAGGTAAAATAGATTATAAATAATACTTCTTCGGATAATCCTCTGTCCTAGGACGAATCAGCAGGAAACCCAGCGAGACTTAAAAAAAAACAATTTATAATCATGTACGTTACACAATTAACAACACAAAACCAATTAGAAATAGCTAGGTAGGGATCAACTATCCCAGTGGTTATTATCCATAAGTTTCTTAATATGTATTATAATAACACTTTTTATACCAACTTAGCTTAATAAAGTTTCTGAACTTTAAGCAGGTCAAATTTTGTATTTACGACTGTCAAGAACCAGAAACTTTTTAATTGTAACGAGGCATTCCATCTTCTTAGACTTCAGGGGTGATAACACATATGTATTTTGGTTCTTAATTGAAATTAAATATAGGTAGATGTAGATGTCAGTGACCTCATCATCCACTTATCCACCACCTAACAGGGGGGCTCTCGTTTGTGGTAGCTTGTGTTTTTTTGTCAACTTTATTCTATAAAAAGACGAAATGCCGTGCTGCAACGTATTACAGCAGCAGTACCAATAGGTCGGAATGGCATATAACATCGTCTGGAACCACTAGCATTCATCGGATCCTCGCCACTAAACTTCTTCAATAACGGAGTTTCTTTTAGAAGTGCGAGCCTGCGGCTCACCTATTGGTGAGAATGTCGGTAGCCGCACATGAGCAACTGCAACACCAGGGGTATTGCAGGTGCTTTGCCTATCTTTTAAAGAATAGTAAGTTCGTTTCCTAAAAAAACTGCTGAAAAACCATTCCAGGTTGAGGATGGATGTGGTATGTGCCACGTCATCCCCTTCCATCAGGTAGACTGTGTGCCCCTTTATTACCTTTATTCAAAACAACATTGGACCTTAAAATTCATTTTTACAATCTTCGCTTAATAAAGTTAGAATTTTTTTTTATTTTATCTTCACGCACAATCCCTAACGGGGTAGCCAGAGAGAACAGATCGCCAAGTGTCACGATCCTTACATACCTCTTTCATTTAAATTAAATTAAAAAAATTACCTCTTTCAAATAAAGTTAGAATACCTTACTAAACTTTGTATGAAAAGGGTTATTATAATGTTAAGGAATTTATGGACGATAATAATCCCTGTGAATGAGATGATCGCTACTAAATCGTTTTCTTGTTGTTGATCGTGTATCCTATTATATTATTTTAATGAAAAGTTCTAGTAAATCGCACAGTAGTGGACTGCTAAGCGTTCAGATGGTGTAGGTGGTATCGTCGGTTTCAGGTAGTGCTTTATAACTATTGTTATTGGATTGAAATCAAAAACCGGCTTATAGTAAGTAAAAAAGAAACAACGAGCATAGTCCTCTCTATAGCTCGCTGAGTGACTTAAAACTAAATATGACGTTTGAAATCTTGGGAGAGTAAGATTAAAGGCGTGGAGCACTTTGATCTATTAATGCACTTAGGTCTCGTAGTTCAAATGATTCTTAGTGTTCAATATTCTGATTGTTCATGAATTATTGCATCAGTTTGCTATTTTATACTCCTGGTATATGGCAACGCGGTTCTAGGCTAGATAGATTCTGGGTTCTAATCTGAGCCAGAGTCAGATGACGTTTGTTGTAGAAAAATCGAAATGTTTGTTCTATTGTGATGAAAGTTGATGCAAATAATTTCTTTTTCGTATAATTGGTGAGAGATTACTCGGTATTCCTTATAGTCAAATCAATCGCCAAATATTTTTAAAATTATTTGACCTCAAATTATTATACTATATGATTAGTAATATCAACTTTATACCTGGTAGATCCATGGTGCCGCTACATATTCGTAACACGAACGGGTCGACCGGGGAAGGACCACATTCTCACAGAGTACCAGCATGAAATATTAGCTCAATGCTGCTGTTTCTCATGGTGAGTGTAGAAAACCGGAGGCCCTTTTCACTGGAAATGAGGCATTTATCTTAGTCCTCACGGGTGACAACACATTTGCATTTTGATTCGTAGCCGAGGATAGATGTAGATGTATATATGGGCCACAGCATCCTCTTACCATTGGACTGTGTACTCGTTTATCACTCATATCCCATAAAAAATAGTAGTGAATATAAATAACCAGCCCAGCAACCTACAAAATTTTGGCTTTTCTACCTTACCCCAGAAATCTAACTACCTTCTTAAATACATTCATATTATTATGAAGAATACATTAACACACTAGCAGCTAAAAGCTGATGCGTGTGCATCTTAATGTTTGAAGATTTTATCCAAACTGTTCTTGAAGGCATTCAATGTAGGAATGTATCTTATTCCGATTAGTGAAAATATGATTTGTAACAAACTTCTTTATGGGATTCCGCTTCGCAGCCCCATGGCAAAGTTTAACTTGATTGAAATTGACTCTCTGACGTTTGTGCTATTCAGTAAGTACAAATTTTGCAGAGCAGACACATCGTAATAGAGTGTCAGTATTTTGTATACTTAATTTAATACCTTTCTGTCTACGGCACTCTAGTGTAGTTATATTAAGCTTTTTCATTCGCTCCTTATATGACCATGTTTCGCAGTTGTTTTTGTGACCTTCCGTAGAACATTTTCCAGTAGTAATATATCATTATGGAAATACGGGTCCCATATAACACATGCAACCTCAACAGGGGTCTTAAGTTTGTTTGTTAGATCTTGATAAATGTTTTAGAAGTGAGACACGTAAAGCTTTTTTTAAATATGTACATCATACAGTTTGCCTTTTTTACTATGTTAAGGATATCAGTTTTCCATTTGAGGTCAATGGTGCCAAGGTCTTTTTATCATTCTATAGAAGACAATGGGTGATCACCTAGATAATAAATGTTTCGTGGATTATTTTTCCTTAAGTGACCTCGCTCTCTCTCGCTAATCGCTAGTCCGCTGGAGGATGGCATTTAGATACTTTTGTATAACTTGAAATTGCGAAATAGGGTTCCTAAAAATTTTTGTGTCGTCGACAAATAATGAGAATGGTAGCCGTAACGTGCTTTACAAATCCGATAAATATAGAATAAATATCAATGATCCAAGAATAGATCCCTACATGAGTGATTTGATAGATTTTCTTAATTTCTAGTAATAATAGTTTCTACATGGCCGGCTCATTGCCATTTCAATGTACTGAATCGCTGGGCTATGTCAGTTACTCTTGTAAGGACTTGTGATGAGCTTTTCTAATAGCAGTAAATAATAACGATACTTATGTTATTAATGTTACAAATTGATAAAATGTCCGTCGTGTTACCACAAAAAAAATTGTACATCTCAATTGTTAAAAGTACGAGTATATTAGAGTGTTATAGCCCAGTCTGGCGTTCCCATGATTCTGCCCATAGCCTGATTCTTGAGCATGTACAAAAATATTTATACGGCATCTTGCCTTTTTAACACGAAATGCGTATGCGAAATCGAAATGCATTGAATGTAAATAGAATAAAGACATTTAAAATGGTTTCATTGTCAAAACTTCCTGACAATCTGGATTTGCAACTTTTTTACAAAAATATTCATAAATAACTTAGATTGCCCTTTATTACTACATACATATAATTTTATTATCCAAAGTAGATATCCTAGTAATTTAATAACTCTACTGTCGCTTTTAGTAGAACTGTACTAGGATTTAATTCCCTAATACCCAGATTTTTCAGACTTTTAAATACTTATTAATGTAGATAGATATGGGTCATTCATTCTTTTCTAGTAATCCGATCATTCAAATATTGATTCGTCTTACGAACCAGGCCATTAGAACGACTATTCAAGTGGATCACCTCGAGTTTTAGTACTCAGTGAACTGTGAGACTTGTTTGATAATGTCGGTCGTTGGACATTACTATACTCTATGGTCGTAGGTCTTCTCAATCGTTTGATATGGAACGTTCAAAGATGTAATTCATCATCATTACAGCCCTTCACAAGTCCACTGCTGAACATAGGCCTCCCCCAAGTAATGCCACAAAGCACGGTCCTGAGCCACCTGCATCCATCGACCTCCTGCATGTCTTACCAGGTCGTCACTCCATCTAGTGGGGGGTCGCCCTACACTACGCCTGCCGGTACGAGGCTGCCGCTCGAGAACCTTTCTTCACCATCGGTTATCGGTTCTTCGAGCTATATGGCCGGGCCATTGCCACTTAAGCTTACTAATCCTTTGGGCTATGTCGGTCACTCTGGTTTTACTGCGGCTATCTATGGCACCGAAAAAACACCACAGAGCCCCCCTCCATAGCTCGCTGAGCGACCTTGAGCGTCCTCATACGGCCAGCAGTGAAGGACCACGTCTCTGATCCGTAAGTCATCACTGGCAACACGCACTGGTTGTACACTTTAGTTTTCAGAGATTGAGGTATACCTGACCAGAAGATGTGTCGTAATTTCCCGAACGCTTCCCAGCCGAGTTGAATCCGTCGATTGACCTCTCGGTCGAAGTTGGACTTACCTAGTCGGACTATTTGTCCCAGGTAAACGTACTCGTCAACAACTACGATCATAGTGCTCCCCACAACTACCGGCATAGGTGTGACATGGACATTGAACATAATCTTTGTTTTGTCCATGTTCATCTTAAGACCTATCCGTTGGGAGACACCATTGAGGTCATTGAGCATAGTGCTAATGTCCTCCAGCGATTCTGCCATAAGGACTATATCGTCGGCAAATCGAAGGTGAGTGATGTACTCGCCATTGATGTTAATACCGTATGCCTTTCCAGTCCAGTAGCTTGAAAACGTCTTCCAATGCAGCGTTGTAGAGTTGCGGGGGTATAACGTCACCCTGTCTTACACCTCTCTGCAGTTGGATAGGTTT